TAATTTTTCGAGAAATATACTTTATATAGTAACAGTTTCACGTGCCCTTAAATGCGAAGCGTGCTTTCTCGAGAAGACTTAAATAATAAAATATATTCGAGAACGTTATTGTTGCATAATGATTAACGAGAGACGTGAAATTGCTACTGTATAAACTATAAAGGCATTTCTCGGAAAATTATCGCGCCTATACTGTCTCCCGTCGGCGGAGAATTTGGATGTTCCTCCTTTTTCGTTATCATCCATGCAACAATATTTTAAATTATTTTATCGTTTAATTCTTTTCAAGGTAGTATGAGACTAGCATTAAAGAATACAAGGATTGCAGATATATTGGTAATAATCTAGCGTGTTGCTTTTCGGAGCTTCGTCGAGCCCCTTATCAGATCACATTGCGCCTATTCTCTCCCGTCGGCACTTGGAGTGGTCATAGACGTGGTGCGTAGTTCCTTTTTTGAAAACGTGGACGTGGAGCGCTAGTGTACGGGAGACATCGCCGGTCCCACGCAAAAGGTCGGCGTGGCCGCGTAGCCGCTCTCACTTCCCACTGTGTTCTCACCAGCTGTCACGCTTCTCTCCGACGAAGAAAAAAAACGCTCTTCGCGTCCGACGACGCCCTCTCGGTAAGCTCGACGCGAACTTGATTCCGCGTTCGCGCTGGCGCTGGTTCGCGCGGGAAATTGAGTGGTTTGCGAGGTTATCACGTTGTACGCGGACCGATCTCCAGCGAGGAACGTCCAGGAAGAATCAGAAGCAAGATTGCCGTAATTCCCGTCATCAACGATGTCGAGTCCTATGAGACCGCCGAGGACTCCTGTCCCGCAGGAGGACAATCGTTCGCCGAATGACACGCCGAACGTTACGCCGAATCGCACGCCGAACGGTACGCCGAACGTTACGCCGAGGAGACAACCGCGGACCCCGACCTCCGTCAGGACTCCCTCGCTCGCCGGAACGCCCAGAATCGCCGGCAGACAAGGTTGAGGAATGCTCATTACGTCGATCGTCTTCGGGGAGGAAAAAAAATGACGCGTCGTAGTCAAGCCGTTTACATTTCTGTTCTTTGTCACAGCCGCAGGTACACCTCAGAGAAGACCGGGCAACAATCCGGTGGACACCCCGTTACGATGGGGCAACCGTCTGACGCAGGAGACCATCGCGCCGTCGTCGGAGGGCTTGTCCTCCATGCCGCTGTCCTCGCCGAATCGACAGGCGCAGACGAGCCCGCTCGCCGCGGGCATGAGCGAGATAGAGCTGTCCTCCCCGCTGAATTACGGCACCCCCAGCTCCCTGGCGTCGGTTCGCACTCCCCGCAGCGGTGTCAGAGGCACGCCCCTTCAGCAGAGACCGGACGTTCAGTCGGACAGACGTGTGCGACAAGTTAATCTGGCCGAAGTAAGTCAAAAGTGTACAGTAATATTAAGACAGAGGCTGCGTTCTGTTTCACGCATGACGTGTCGTGGTCTCCTTATTATTCATCAAATATTAAACAGAGATAAAAGGATAAATTATGGGTGAAACGGAACGCAGCCAGAGATGAAATTTATTGAATTACTAATGTGTAAATTTTTTTGACAGATACCAGAGAATGATGAGGAGAGAGAGAGAACGTCCGAGGGTGAGAACGGCCCGCAGTTCACAATCTGGGGCACGAATGTCGTGGTGAGCCACATCAAGCAGCAATTCAGACGATTTATCACATACTTCATCGATCCGGAGGCGGAGAACGATGAATTGCCTGAAAACATGAATCTGTCAGAGCCGCTCTACATGCAGAAGCTCGAGGAGATACATATACTGGAGGAGCCTTATCTGAACGTGAACTGCGCGCATCTCGAGGCGTTCGACGAGCAGCTTTACAATCAGCTGGTACTGTACCCTCAGGAAATCGTACCGTCGTTCGATGTAACCGCCAACGAGCTGTTCTTCGAGAAATTCCCCGGGGCGGCGTTGGAACACTCGATCCAAGTGCGTCCCTACAACGTGACGAGGACCACGAGTATGCGCCTCCTGAATCCGGAGGACATAGACCGACTGATCACGATCACCGGAATGGTCATCCGGTCGTCGAACATCCTGCCGGAGATGCGAGAGGCGTTCTTCAAGTGCATCGCGTGCTCCTTCACGACGACCGTGGCCATCGACAGGGGCCACATAGCCGAGCCCACGGTGTGCACTCACTGCAACAACAATTTCTGCTTCAATCTGATACACAACCGCAGCCTCTTCACCGACAAGCAGATGATCAAGCTGCAAGAGTCGCCGGACGATATGCCGGCCGGTCAGACCCCGCATACAGTAGTGCTCTTTGCGCATGACAATCTGGTTGACGCTGTCTCACCGGGTGACAGGGTCTCCGTCACTGGTGTATACCGCGCGTTGCCGATACGCGTCAATCCACGGCAGACCAATGTACGAGCTATCTACAGGACGCACGTTGACGTCGTCCACTTTAGAAAACAGGATTCAAAGCGGTATTTCTAATTTTATTTTAATGAATTTGTTTTATTGCGATTTATATGTGATATATATAATATTAATATATTAAAATTGAAATATGTATTTTTGAAATAGATTACTATTCGTTTCACATTTCTTCAATTCTTCGATCAATGTATGTATATATTATATTTTTATTAGTTTTTGTTATGGTTTGTTGCATATGTAGATTGTACGAGCAAGAGGACGGCAAGAGTCATGCGTTCCCACCCGAGAGAGTGGAGCTGTTGAAACTGCTATCGCAAAAGGAGGACATATATGAACGACTGGCGCGGCACATTGCTCCCAGCATCTACGAGAACGAGGACGTCAAGAAGGGTATACTGCTACAATTGTTCGGCGGCACGAAGAAGGAACAGAACGAACGAACCAAGAAATATTTCCGGTCCGAAATCAATATACTTTTATGCGGAGACCCGGGCACGAGTAAATCGCAACTGCTGCAATTCGTCTTCAATTTGGTGCCGCGCTCGCAGTACAGCAGCGGAAAGGGTAAGTAGTTCTCGACAGCGATAACTTCAAAATCTCTGATTTTATTAGCTCCTTTCGTTTCTCACGTTCGTTATCCTTCCGTCCAGGTTCCAGCGCCGTGGGCTTAACCGCCTTCGTGACGAAAGACCCCGAGAGCCGTCAATTAGTGTTGCAAACTGGCGCACTGGTGCTCGCGGATAACGGCATCTGTTGCATCGACGAGTTCGATAAAATGAACGACAGCACGCGCTCGGTGCTGCACGAGGTAATGGAGCAGCAAACACTGAGTATCGCGAAAGCGGGTATCATTTGTCAGCTGAACGCGAGAACGAGCATTCTGGCGGCGGCCAATCCTTGCGAGTCGCAATGGAATAAGAATAAGACAGTGAGTGTCCATTAAGTTGTAATACATATCCGATATCGAACCGAGACGACCATGAAGCCTTATAAATTTGTACACTTTTTTTCCAGGTAGTAGAGAACGTCATGTTGCCGCACACATTGATGTCGCGTTTCGACTTGATTTTCCTCATGCTGGATCCCCAGGACGAGGTGTTTGACAAGAAACTTGCCAGGCACTTGGTGTCGCTGTATTATAAATCCGATTTGGAGGAGGAGGACGACATTGTGGACATGAGCATCCTGCGTGATTATATAGCCTACGCTAAGGAACACGTTCATCCTACTCTCAACGAGGAGAGTCAGCAGAGGCTGATCCAGGCTTATGTCGACATGCGTAGAGTAGGGAGCGGCCACGGGCAAATCACGGCTTACCCGAGGCAATTGGAATCGCTGATAAGACTCGCCGAGGCACACGCTAAAATGCGATTCAGCGCCGTCGTGGAGATCACGGATGTCGAAGAAGCTTGGAGGTGAGAGCGGAAAAAAAGTGGTTAATAATAAGTGTTGAGAAAAAATGTTAACAGATATCAGAAATATTAATTTTTGATAACACAACTCATTATTGTCAGATTACATCGTGAGGCATTGAAACAGTCCGCCATCGATCCGCTGAGTGGCAAAATCGATATTAGTATCTTGACGACCGGTATGTCGTTGGCAGCGAGAAAACGTAGGCAGGAGCTGGTCGAGGCGTTAAAGAAGCTCATCAAGGGCAAGGATAAGGCACCGACATTGAACTACCAGAAGATTTTCACGGAACTGAAAGAATCGTCCAGCACGGTAAATTTAGTTGTCCTCGTTTGTTATTATTTGAACATCGTTATTGTTTGCCGTTTGCAGTTGTGATTATTTTACTTTATTTTCTTTTGTATGCGCTGCAGAAAGTATGCTTGTTTCAATTTTGCTTTTTATTTTTATTTTTTTAGTTGGTGACGCGCGAGATGTTTGAAGATGCTCTGAAAGAGCTGCAGGATGATGGTGTTGTGATTGTAACCGGCAAAAATACCATTCGTGTTTGCTAGAAATATCTCCGTTTGCGTTCTTTAAAAAAGTAATACAGGTACTATTCAAATATAACTGATAATGTATCGGTATTGTAAATCTTATGGGAAATCATATATTAGGATACTTTGTCATATCAACATTTTTTTTATCTTTTTGATACCTTTAATAACAATGAACAATTTTTAGTTAACGATAATTATAAAAAAATGTATGACTATAAATATTTTATACTTTTGAACTGGTCCTCGAATTACCATTTGCCTTCAGTAAAATAGCAAGGCCAATATATACTTCAAAATTCATACAATTCTTTCTTTCACGTCGAATATGATTTCTAAATTTATTTTGCGATTACGATATGTTCCATTATGCTCGAAAATCTGCTTTTTACTGTTGGATTTAGAATTATTCAGAAGATGAAATTTAAATTTGCAATGGCCTTTAATCCAGATTTCAAAAGGGTAGATTAATTTATATTTAATAAATTCGTAAATATATTGAATCTCGGAGGGTGGTGGGTATTCCATGATCACTTTTCATCGATTATTTGCAAAATTCTGTTGCGATTGTTTGATCAAAACAAAAGGAGACCTTTGTACTCCAATTATGCTTTAGACAATTAATAATGCAATAGTAAAACGCATATTAATTACTATCGACGAATTGAAACATCTTGTAGATGCTCTGCGCGCATATACGTTCCACGCCTACGCCTCGTGCGCGGGCGTCCCGGCGGAGGCGTCGTACTACGTTTTGCTCTTGCAATGACCTTGGAAACTCCCACGCTGCTTTCAGCGCCGGGGCGGCTTGGTGGGGGACATTCGTTCATCGATGTCCCGGCCACCCACACCGGGCAATTTTCATCCCTCCGAACCACGACGTGCCCCCGCTACGCCCGTAACGATCAATGGCGAGGGTACTTTAAGCATCTACGAATTATCGTATTCTGGCAATCGAACCAGAATTAAATCAAATTAAGGATAACAGAATGGCTCGTACGTTTTATCGGAAATTGTTAATATTTCGCGTCGGTGGGATAAATTACGTTAAAATATCGCCGAATATACACCTAGATACTGTGCACCTCAGATACGTATTATGTATCGAATCTGTTAAACTATTTTCAAGAATTTTCTTTTTTCCCTAACATTTACAAAATTTTCAATTTAGATCAAATTAATAATCTATTTAATTTTTACGGCGAATCGATCACCGTTTTTTCCTATGTACTTTTGGATTGCAATTTGGTCACGAGAAAAATTCTTGACAAGCGAGGCATTCGTTTTCCTGTAAACATTGGTACTTGTTAAAATAACTTTGTCAAACAAGACAAAGCGAGAACAATTGATATTTCGGTCGTTGCAAAAGAATTTCTTGTGGCACGTATCTCGCGGCTGTAAATTGAAATTTGTATCCCACTCGAAATTCAATTTCGCATACGCTATATACCTATCGTACTCGCCAATAATCGCTATATTCCCTCCCTTTCGTGTTTCCCGTGCGACATACGGCGATTCGATTTCAAACTTCTTCAGTATCAAAATTAAACTCGATATATTCCGCTACAAGTGTGTACCTGGCCGTGCGAGCGTCCGATTTCGATTGTCATCCGACGCGCTCGGCGCAACTGGCCGCGCGAGAGTGCATGCCTATTCCACCCTTTTTCACGGCGACCGACTACGCGCGTGCACGCGCGATTCGCCCCCGTAGGGATTTACACACGTGCGCGCTGTGCGCACACCCCTGCATACCGTCGTCTATGAACGGTCAGCCCCGTAACCGACACATACAGTGCGGCGCGGCCGCACGTGTGAGCGTAGAGCCGGCGAGGGAGGAAGAGAATGGGATCGCGCGCAGAGAAGCGGGACGGCGAGGGGGATGAAATGAGCGAGAGAGCTTCGCGAGCGAGACAGGGGGAAAAGGAGACGGAGAGAGAGAGAGAGAGAGAGAGAGTGATCGGGGGGTGGGAGTGCGCTCGATCGTTAAAGCATGACTACCCCCACCGCGCGTTCCCTCACGCCAGGCAGCCCATTCATAAAGTTGCGTCCGCTAATTCTTAACGTCCCCCGTTCGACGCTTCCCCGGCGCTTCGCGCGAATGTAGGGTGGTTCGGACAACGGGATACGAGCGATTCCCATCCCCCCTTTTGAGTTTTTATTCGCATTTCTTATTAATTTACCTGTACAAAATAGATTATACAATCGATAGAAATCGCGGCAGTAGATTGGACGTCCCAGAAAATGCCAAGAGAAATGTCAAATACTATTTCTTTCTGTATCAAATCTTCGCGATCATAAATATTTGATGTTGACTTTTCAAACTTAGGTATATAGAATCTGAAAATAGAGATCCCCATGTACGGTTGAATGACGTGTGATCTTATACGCATCAAAAATTTTAAGTCTTTTTTTTTTATCAATAATATTATGTATTTAATATTTTATTCGAATTTTCGGAAATATTCTCTACGGCTTTCGCAGCTCTCCGATAATAACGTTAATGCAAATTTTATTGTTGGCTCGACGGCCAAACAATGAGGTCTGGTAATACTGTACAGCATACATAAATCATTCCCATTTTATCGCGGCGAGATCATTAAAGATCCATGCCAATTAAAGATTCATTGACGATTAACGATTCATGCCATGTTCGCGCGAGAGGATTGACCGCGGCTGCGTCGCGCGGTCCTGCGCGGCTCCAACGCCTAACACACCTGTTCCTCGGGATGAGACCTGACTCGCCCGATCGACCCTGGCTGTGGCGGTTGAAGGTCATCGTCGTCGTCGTCGTCGTTACCGTCGTCGTCGTCGTCGGCAACGTCGTCGGCATCGTCGTCGCCGTGGGGGGAGGGGGATGCCGCAGTGCTCCCGTGAGCGAGCAAATAAAAGGCCGCCCGGCATTGAGCGGGTGCCTCCATTCATGGTTTCCGGGCGCAGGCGTACCGCGACGAAACCGCATGGCGCTGCCCGGGGAAGGGGTTCGCGAGAAGTCACCTACGCAGAGCCCCCGGCATCGCGATGCGTGGGCGACGTGGATGATTCAGAGGTAGAGCGAGCCGGAGTAAAGGGCGGACGGTTCTGTTCCTCGCGCGCCGGCTCGGCCACGGCTCCGCTCGGCTCGCGATCCCCGGCACGACCACCGAGGGTGGCACGCGCTTCCCCGAAAGAAAAACCGCTCTCTCGCGTCGGGAGAAAGGATCTTACGACGATGGTCCGCGTGGTGCAGCTTCGCGGCTTCTCCGCCGGCCGTTTTCCCGTGTGACGTGTCCGCGTTCGCATCGAGTGAGTTCCGGAGCCTCTTCGGGACGCACCTACCCCGGGCGAACCACCTGGGATCCTTGTGCCAAAAATACTCACGCGGAAGTCGACGCTCGTCGAGAATACGGAATCGCGGGAACTCTCTCGTCGCACATACGTGATCGCCTTCAGATTGTTTTCGAATTTTTTGACTCGAACCCCGTTATAATTTTTTTTTTTTCTTCGAAGACCGCGCGCCGCAGCCCGGAAAGATCGCACGCACGTTTCACACCGAAACGACGAAAGTGAGAAAGTTCTATGGATCATCGCGTGCAACGTGATTGTTCGCAACTGTAACGAACGCTTTTCCGGTTCGGTAATCTTTGTAAAAGTTCACGCTGCTGGTTGTCATGGATCCCCAGATAACGTTTTATAATACAAATTATTTTTCTTGTTATTGCATTATTCTTATAATGATTCTCTTGGTCTTCCTTGAAGTCCTAGTGTTTGGCCTGTTCATCGCCCGACTTACCAAATTATAATCCGCGATATAAAAAAAAAAAATTAATATCAATTGTTAATTAATAATTTTTAATTATCGTTTGTCGTAAAAATACTTCTCCGCGAACGCGGACTTGTGACAAGTCGTACAGTATTGGAAAATCATAAACGTGCGATGAGAAGTCGTTGCTTTAACCCGTTGAGCCCAACGAGGGCCGAACGAGATTACTCTCGCTGTTAAGTAGTCGAGCTCGAGCATTACAACGGACGGCGAGGGCGGTCCCTCATCCTCTCGGCAGTTAGTCGAGTTACCCGGTTCACGAGAGAGCTCGCGCGACGAATAGAGGCATGCGGAGATTCTATCCGTCTGCATCCGACACGAGAGGCCAGCTATACTGCGTCAGTGTCCAGTCGTCGAAGGCGTTAATCCTGGAGAGATACGCGAGCGTAGACAGCATCCCGGAAAGCATGCTCGCCGCACGCCAGTACGACTGCTTCGCGGAGGGGCGCTCGTACGAGAGGTGAGATTTGATTTCTCCTTCAGCCCTCATTTACATATCGCTCGCTCGTTCTGTCATTGCGGCTCCGTTCCGCTCCTCATGTTGGATTTTTTTTTGTTTTGTTTTAAATGAGATCCACGCGGTTCCGCACTCGGTCGCTTTCGTCTCTACGATATCGTATCTGACGTCACGTTTCCTCGCGATTCTCCCGTTGCTCACGTAGTCGCGGAGCGTTTCCGTGGTGCGGCATTGAATCGCGAACGAGAGCGAAAGTGGCAGGCGACGTCATTCAGCGCCCACCGGTGAAAACGGAAAGCACCGGCAGACTGCGATCGTTCTTGTAAAAAAATTATAGACGTCGATGTAGGTACAGCAAGGCTTAGTCAGCAAAGACTTTCTGCAAGGTTTAGTCAAAATGTTAAAATTTGAAAATCATTCAAAATTCGAGATTAAAATAAAAACCGAATGCCTTGCCGGCACAGCATCGCTAAGGATTCGCATGATTAACCCCATTAATAATGCGGAGTTTCTTTTTTTTAATAATAAATCCTGATTTTGTGCATAATTAGTGCTGAAAAATTACAACAAAACGACAAGTACTTACATAAAGCTAAGATTATCTTTATTTTTATTTTCATTTCTATTTTTTTTCTCATCTCTCTAAAAGTAGAAGTTTCAATCGAACTCCGCATCTATTAATAGTTCGTGTAGCGTCCACAATTAAGGGATTTGATTTTCTTCAACGGAGAACACGTGGAGAGAACGAAGCCCGTGATAAATCCTCCCGTTGGTGTTCTCCGGTGTGTGTCGCTCAATAGAAGGAAAAAGAAAAATTCTCTGAGGCGCGCGCAAATCGATACGCGAGCGCGGGACAAAGGGATTTTGATACGAACGAAATTTGATCAAGCCGTGTCGGTACACGACAGACAGAGCACGGATCCCCGTTGTATATTTTGGGTAAATATTGTCGGATCACGCATGCCCGCGCGGGGTGGTATAGCGTGACGCGCGCGCTCGTGCGCTCAACGGGCACGCTCGCAGAGATGGGGATACACGCAGCATACACGCAGGTATACACGCCGGCCATTTTACTTTCTCCTCCTTTCTGACCCTCGAGAGGAAAAGCGGATCTGACCTTGGTCGCCATGGCGATCTCCAGGATATTACCCTCCGTACTCGTCACGCGCGGAGCGTTTTCGGAAGAGGCGCAGAGGGTGCTTTTCGCTCGACGCACAAAATGATTTATAATAATAAAATAAAAATGAAAACCAAGACAAAAAAGCCGCCAAGTGAATTTCATTCCTTGACTACTGTGAGGAGCGCACGCCGGTAGTCTCAGATCGATAGTAGACGACAATCCATCACGTATTTTGCGCGCGTACACATGTACGCGTCTCGAGATGAATATACAGAGTGAACATATATTAACTGCTATCGCGCCTACTTTGCGCATTAGCGGATAATGGCATATTCTTGGAATCAAAATATCGAGGCGATGATAGCTTTTTAAATGTTATAAATTGATCATACGAGCCATAATTCGCGCGCTCAAGCACATCGCACAATCGAAGCGAAGCTATCCATCAATTCTGTTCTTGGTATCGGTATAATTCCGCGTACAATTTAGACAAATATTCAGATAAAATTATTTGCTTTTCGCCACTCATGTAAATACTGTCTCTACAGGAAATTTCAACTTTTGATTTTTCTAATAAATTGGAGTCATAAAAAAAATAACGCTGCGCTCTTTTGGCGTTCGGTCTTAATGGCTTTTTTAAAGCGATCACTTGCTCGCAATGTTGCAAAGAGGGAATACTGTCGAGAGCGATTTAATCTCGGTTTTAATATAGTCCCGGCAAAGCGGGGAAACGATATGATTTTGGGATTAATCCAGAGGATTGCGCGGCGCATAAACACGGACTTGTTGCTTATTATATTTTATACATTATGTGAAAAAGCGAGCGAACTTTTCCACGGCCCGGCGAAATTAAATATTGTTAACATGGGAATTTATATTTAATATATGATCCCCCTCTGCGCGATAATCCCACCGCTTATTTTCTGTCGGAAAATATTGTTTCCCGCATTTACAGAAAAATCTTGTCAGCAATCATTATTTAGTACATGTGAAAAATTTCGTCAAAAAATTCTTGCCTAAAATTCGGAGCTTTGTAGAAAAATTTTTTATATATAAAGCGACGATATAAAGAAAATTAATTTCTTAGGGAAAAAATGATCTCGAGTTGATCGTCGAGTATTAAAGTTAATGCTTGGAAATAAGAATACACACTGTATAATTCGAATATTATTTACAAAGTGACCTCGTCACAAGACAAATTCTTGTCAACAACGCGAGGTCTGATCGGTTCAGTTCGGTGCGATCTTTTGATCGTGGTGGTTCAAATATCAACAGCTGCGGTGCAAAGCCTCGTTTCGAGAGAAGAGCAAGTAAGTCGAATCGTATCGTCAAGATAGACACGGTAAAAATTACAGCTGATCGTTTGAGTGAAATTTTGTGTTCATCGATTTCCTAATTTTGAATAATAATAGATATCTAATCATAGATTTACCTCACGGTTTTCGCGACAAAGTCACTTCTTGTAATGCCTGATCCCTCGTATACTGTATCTTAGACTCTTCTAATGCATTATTCCGTTTTAGTGGTAGGTTCTTTCGTCGAAACGTGCAATCGATTTTCCCCTTTACGAGGAATATCAAGAATTATCATTTATACTTTTAATTTTCAACGTCGTACATTTTTCAAACTTATATTTATAGCTTCCAATTTACAGGACGTGATTGCCATCGTCAGTCATGCAAATTTCCAGTGTAAATACAGCAAAAATGCAGTAATCTATTATGCGCGACAAAAGAAATAGCGACAGCGTTCACAACGCGACGTAAAATGCGTTTTTATGTATCGCACGGGGTACTCGATAAAGCAGACGCGTTTAGCGAGCAGGGCGATTTTGCCCAAGGTTGAAACTGTTATAATTTTAAAGAATAGAGTCCTATTATCATATAGATATAAATAGTATCTTGGGAGAATTATTGCGTTTCCTTCGTTAGGAATAAATGTAAAGGTCATTACATTTATATTTTTCGCTTCTTATTAGTGTCAGAAAGAAAGTACAGCAGAAATAATGTTTTAAAAAATTCAAATGACTTTCAAATATATAACATTTTAACTGAAAAAGCCACGAATAAATTTTACATTAATTTTATAAAATCGCAACTCAATCTGTTACGTCTGTTCTCTTTGGATCGCGCCATTATTGATTTTCGCTCCTTCGGAAATACAAAATTTATTTTCCTCTTGGGAGCTAAATTCCGTTAAATCCCAAAGTTCAAATGGATTTTCCAGATAAACGCGGAGTATACTGAGATATATAAATCTGATATTCTTGTGAATCTTCCGAGTCGCGGTGCACAATAAATGACAGTAATAGAGAACAGCCATGCGTTGATAGGCTTAAGGAGATACAATATCGAGACTCCGACATTTAAATAGCTCGTCGTAATTACCGTTTTAGAAAAGCAAGATTTTTCAATCGTGCAACGCAAGAGACTTCCTTGGAGCTTTACCAGCAATTTTTGCCCGCCACAATGAATCCATTAAAATCTCCACGCACCAGAATAGACATAAACCGCCATTCCATGCAAGTAAGTAGCCTACAAATAATCTGCAATCTTGAATAACATTTAAATCATGTCCTCATTAATTAGAGCCAATTAATAAGTTTCTTCTACATTCATAATATTTCCCCGTTATTCTGAAATAAATTATTTACTTTAATTTTTCTTCCCAACTAACAAGATCAAAATGTGAAAGTTCAAATAAAGTTCACAGTCCATCTTAAGAAATATTATTCTGCGTATAATTTTTCTTTAAGAAAAACTTTATATTAATTTTAAATAAGTCACAATTTATTAATTTTTGTAAAACTATTTCAAAGTAAATCTTAAGTCAAGCTATTAAACGACAAATTTATACATAGAGTAAACAGAACGAGAATTTATTTCAGCTTACAAATAAGCCTCGAAAGCAAGACGATCAACACTTCACGCCGAGGAAATTTACCATCGCCAAGAAGGTCCGATCGTTTCCCGATTCGAGTCCGGATCACTTTCTGAAGCAGTTTCCTCCGGGAGGGAAACTGTCGCAGCAGCATTCCAAGGACAATTCGTTTCTCAATCATGTGGACACCTTGAACGAATGTTCGAAACTGTACCGTCAAAGCCCCATGGCCGCCAGTTCGCTGAGCTGCTCGAGCGAGAGCCGATCGAGCTCCTCGGACGACAACCTGGCGAATCATTCGCCGGTCCATCAGCTGGACACCGATTCACCGGATCATTTCGAGTATTTCCGAATGTTCGAGGATGCCAGCGTCGCGGATGTACCAGGTCCGAGCTTCTCGGGCGGCTGCAGCTACCGGAGTGACGGCTGCCAAGCGGGTTACGAGACGTACGAGGATTTCAACATGAATCTCCTGAAGATCGATTTGCTGGACGACATTTCCAGGCGACAGTCACCCGTACGCGAGGGGTCCAGCCCGATTGCTCAGGGGGATGTGCTCAACGACTCGTTATTAACGCTGATGGCGAAAGATCTGGAGAAGGACGAGAGCGACGTGATCTTACCGCCGTCGCGAGAGCAGCGGACTCGCAGCCCGAGCAGTCAGAGAGATCCAACCGATGTACCGCTGATATCGTCGATGTCGGAGGAGTTGGAAGTAGAGAGTGAGATGAAGAAGGAAAAGTACTCGGGGCAGCAGTCACCCGCGAGCGAACAATGGACTCGCAGCTTAAATCTGGAGGACACGTCCAGCGTAATCTCGATAATGAACAAGGACGAGGTGACGAAGGAAACGGAGGAGGATTGTCCGCTCGATCATCGCTCACTGAGAATCCTGAAGCCGCCCTACCGATGCAACGATCATCCGTACACTCAATTATTTTACTGTCAGACTTGCTGCAAGGCGATCTGCAAGGAATGCTCCAGCCAATGCGTTTACAAACACGTCACGGTGGATTTTACAGAATATCTCGAAATCGCCCAGCGTCAGGCTGAAGAGGTGCTGATCGAGGCCTATCTCGGAATCGACGTTCTCGCGGACGATATGGAAAATATGGGAGTAAGTCCATTAATTGTTGTTTGGTCGGCACGGAAAGCGACTTTCTCCATCGTTTTTCCCTTTGATTTCAAATTTATGTTTAACCTTCAATCTTCCACCAACCGGTGAAGTAACATACATAAAACCTTACGTGGACTCTTGTCATTTTTTGCACACAATCAAATTTTATTTAAAAGTAAATAAATAAATAATAAAAATACAGAAAAATGTTTTGTTGAAAATAAAATTGGATTCTGCGCACAATTAATGCTAAAAGATATAAGAAAGCAGCGAGTACTTTGTATATAAAAGTGAAACATCATTATTATTATTTTTTTAAATATTTATAGAAACTAGAAGTTTCGATTCTTAGGGGATATACGCGGGAAAAAAGATTAAGCGGTCAGTAAATAGAAAACATTAATTAAATTATTGAAACTTATAGAATATGAAAAATATAGATATGGATTTCCTTATGGAAATTAAAATATTGGGAAAATTACTGGAAATGATTAAAAAACTATTCAAATTATGTATCATTCAAACCATCCAATATATATATATATATATGTTTTATTAGTTTTTTTACTAGTATTCTGTAAGGGTATAAATATTTAATTTCAAGTGGCATTTGGAACTCCATATTATTGAAGGTGAAGGGTTAAGGGCAATAACCCTGATAGCAAAATGCTAGCAGTTTGCCGACAGATTGGCAACAAATCATCAAATTCGATCAGATTCCCACTGTAAATACATAGTCATCTGTGTTCGCATTAAGCTCGGGATTTGTCGATAAAGCCTGACATGCTACGTCAGCAGATTACATAGTAGAAACTGTACGCACGCGGGCAATCTGACGGCACATGTATATTGGCAGCATAAACCGAGCAAGAGTTGCAAATCCTGCTCAGTTTCTATTACCAATCTACTGGCAAATATATATCAGCAGGCTTTGTTATATTTTCAACGGTAATTTGCTAACATCGTCAGATATTATAGACTCTGTATGAAACTTGTTGCCTTTCTACCATTAAAAATTGGTAGCATACTCTGCTTATGTTTGCATTCCGCGTAAATAAAATAAATTTCGAGAGATGTTCGAAGGAAAAGAAAGAGAAAGAATTTATTGTATTTCGCATAAATAAAATAAATTCCGAGAGATGTTCAAAAGAAAGGAAAGAGAAAGAATTTATTGTACGCTTTTTTTTTGTTGCAGTTGGACATTGCAGCGTTAGATCAGAGAACCAGGGAGGCACTCACCGACGTAAAGTTCTTTTCGCGTAGAATGTGGTCCGCGGTGGAAGAGAGGGAGAAGAAATTATTTAAACAAATTGTGGAAACGCGTCGGTGGAAGTACGAGGTTCTCCACGAGAAATACATGAATTTGAAGGAGGATAAGACACGGCTGTCACAGGCCGTCAGTTCCCTCAAATCTGCCATACATAACGCGCGATCTTTCCCCGTATGCAATCCCGATAATCTTTTGCAGAGGAAAGATATGGTGTTGGCTGAGGTATTTCATCAGATTTATTTAACTTTTATTTTTGCACATGACGAATATTTAAATATTTTAGAGCTCCCTTAAAGGCAGGGTGCAAATTGCTTGCGATATCGTTGCGGTAAAACTGTTCACCTTTATATTCCCTTTTCTCATCACTGGATGCAAATCAATTTTTTATATTCTTTACTATGTAAGAAAAAATTAAAAAAAATTGATGTGTATATATAAATACCACACAATGGTGGAAAAAAGTGAAAAAATTTTCAGTTCACAAAAATGACTTTTGATTTAATCTCGCAACTGCGTTAATTTAAAAGGGACTAAATTTAGAAAGAAATATAAAAATAGAAGTCTTTTGCTCGATTTCTATTGGCAGAGAATTTTGTTATTAAATTATGTTAACAGACATTACGAGCTTGACACACGCACACAAATGAAAAAAATGTCTATTTTTTAATTTTGCAGATCTGGCAGATTCGTCAAAATCGGAAGGCGAAAGTGCGATCTGTCCGAGATGAAAATTGGATTTCCTTCAGAAGTTCCGATAACAACGTGTTGTCCGTGATCGCCAACGGGGGAAACGTCCTGGTGAACGGTCCGGGCACGATCGGAGACCGTCTGCCGAATCGCGATTACAAATCGTTGCAATCGTATTTCCCGTACGGTATAAACGAGCAGATGATGCAGCCGATTCCACGCGGTCGTCCGATAACGGACTACGACCGTAATATCTGTCTCCCTAATCGGAAACACGAGTTGCAAGTCAAGAGCACGGACGTCGTAATTCTCGGCTATTTCGGCGAGAACAATCCCGACAATCTCTGTCGCCCATGGGGATTGATTTGCGACAACGAGGGACACATTATTATAAGTGATCGATCCAATAATCGTATACAGATCTATCGCGAGAACGGCACGCTGGTCAGGAAATTCGGGAGCTATGGAAATGGCCCCTGTCAGTTCAATCGTCCGGCTGGAATCGCCGTCGATGCCAGACGTCGTCTTATTGTGGTCGACAAGGATAATCACCGTGTTCAGGTTGGTATATCGTGGAAGACGTTTATGATCTTTTTTTATATAATACAATTTCTTTTCAAGCGTATATTTGATAAATGTAAATTACAGCCGATGAAATCATCGCGTGTTTCAGATTCTGACATTGGAGGGTGACTTTCTAAGATCCTTCGGCGAGCATGGCGAGAAACAGGGCCAATTCTGCTATCCGTGGGACGTGGCGGTGAACTCAGCTTGCGAGATCGCGGTGACGGACACGAGGAACCACCGTGTCCAGCTGTTCAGTCCCGAGGGTATTCCGCTACGCATGTTCGGCGGCCAGCCGCATCTGCTGCGATACCTGGACTCGCCGCGCGGTATCTGCTTCAACAACGAGGGCAAGCTGATCGTCACGGACTTCAACAATCATCACATACTGATAATTGAATATAACATGGTGGAGATGCGCATACTCAAATGTGAGAAGGAATCAAAAGGCAAGAGGCAGGACGGGGAGACCGGCGAGAACGGGCAGAACGAGGAGAACACCCCCACGTTTCAGAGGCCCCAGGGCGTCATCGCGGCCGACGACGGCAGTATCCTCGTGGCGGACTCCCGCCACAATTCGATCAAGGCGTTCAATTCGGTCGGCTCGTTGATCTACTCCTACAAGCCCGGCCAGGAGGAGATGGACCGTCCACTGGGTATAGCTCTTCATTGGGACGGTAGAATGGCGTTCACGGATTACGGCCGTAATTACGTGCGCTTGGTAAAGCTCGAGCACCACATGGAGCCGATGGCGAGGAACGCTATCATGTTCGGTTGACGCCTCAGAATCGCAGACGCGTTGTCCTGATGATTTGATGGGAACATCAGACAGCGAGGTTTCTATATTTGCGTCATGCGTGAGCAGTAGCCGCGGTCGCCGCGGCGAAAGCTATCGCAATTTTTACATTTGCAACGCGTGGTTAGATTTTTGAGCCACCAATGAATTGTGCTAGGAGGTATAATTTTTTGCCAGAAAAACGAGAGAGAAAAAAGTCTCTATTGGTGAAAATAATAATTGACGATGTACGAAAGATAAAAGTTAATGTTTTTGCGCGCGTGACGTCACTTCGTACATGTTTTCGATTCCACACAACACACACAGCATACACACACACACTACACATGTATTGTCTATCGTTTCAGAAGTAGACATTCGTACGAAAGCTTATTTTCGCTTTCAGATTTTTTTCACTTCGTGGTATGTGTAATTAGTGAGGGAATATCGCCCACGTTGCAAGAACGCTCAATTTTTTGCTCTCGAAAGAGTTTACCATTTTAGTACAACTATAATGTTTATTGAAATAATACGACTTTTATCTTTAATTAACAATTTACGTTATTATTGTTATTTATTGCCATTTTTTAAATTGTACTATATGTATTTTTACAATTTTATTGTGCAATGCATTGTATAATACTTACCTCCTGATTGGATGGACACACAAAATGCTCATGCAGCTCAGATATTTTTAGATCTTTATTCTCCATCACGAACGAGCGACAAATAGATATTGGAGCAAAGCGTTAAAAGAGAACTATAAACGCTATGCATTTTGAATAATTAAATGATCAAACAATCGATCGACAGCGCACAGTTAAGGGTAGTAACGAAGGAAATTGAGTTATCGATAAATCCAGATATAATCATTTTATTAATGCATCGTATTTATTATTCAGAAGATTCGATCATCGATCGAACTATCGTAGATGCATTTTTTTTCCAATTTTATATATGTTATTTTATACGACTAATTTTGTTTGTTTTTACAAAATTAAATCATGTATTTAATTAACTCTAATTTCTTCGCGGATTTGTAAGATTCGCTTATTTTCTAAATTATGCATGACGCTAATTATTTTATTTGTAAATCCAATTTCGGAAAATATAAAAGTAGAAATTGCGATAGGTTAATTCATGCAGTATTATATAACTTTATACTTTTATAACATTCATTTAAGTGTGTGTCAATAAATTGTCATCACAATTGAGTTATCTTATTTGATTTTTTAACAATATTTGAATTTTAAATGTATATAAAATGCAGGATATTGATATAATTGATTTTTAGCACTTCCGTTAAAATCAAACGTCCTTTAATCAAGAATTTTTGTCGTCATTTCTGATATTTTTACTTTCCTGCTTATTAGATTCATTAATTCTTAGTAAAATGGAAGATTTTTAATTAATACTTGAACTTAATTACATTTTTTCAATACTTTTATTTTTAATATGTAATAGAATTATTCAACAAGTCAGAAGATCTTTCAATTCAGTTTAAACTTAAATATTTTAACACAAATTTATTAGTCATTTTCGTTTAGTGGATTTATTGATTTACTAAATTAGGAAAAAAAATGTCGCAAAACAGATAACAACGACAAGATATTTTGAATAATATGTCAGATTGGATGTGAAAGCGTAAAAGAAAGTAACGGAGAAGTATCCATCCAGAAGAATCAAATTTTTTATTTTTCAAAGGAGATTATGCAAAATCGGGAAAATTGTAGCTTTGCAGGCTACGCGAATTGGGAATGTATCTGTAAAATTCTATTACCAATGTGAGATTTTATGAGTAGCAAATATGGGCATACTGCCGCCACGCGACCCATTTTCTAGTTTTTGACCAGGAATCACTTATTTAGCCATTCGATTTTAGTCAGAATGTTTCATATTTTATCTCACACTATGTCTATATCAAGTTTCATGACGAATGGTCTATAGTACCACAAAATTTTCCCGATTTTGCATTATGCTTTTTTCCGGAGCGTTATTGTTCTCTTCAAAAGGACGAGGAAGGCAACATATATTATTATTAGTAACGCTAAGTATTAGCCAGTAAGTTCATTGTTAAGGTAACTAATAATGTTAGACATTAATGTGACTTTAATCGTTATCAAGGTTGAAGAAGATCAGTACAAAGTGTGTGCATGCGTACGAGATGAGAGAGAGAGAGAGAGAGAGAGCTGTCTCTTATACACATCTCTGAGCGG